ACCTACAATAAGTGAGAACTATTATTGTTGGTAAAACTTAATTAAAGCATGTTTAACTGCAGAGCTGAAGAACATACTTATTCTATTTTCTGTTTGTTTTTCCTTGATCAGTATCTTTCTTATATGCCTTTTTATTTCAGTTACTTCCTCCTTTTTGTTTTAAACCGGAGGCTATCATTAAAATTTAACTGTAACGTTTCAGGTTACACTTCAAACTCTCTGCCATAGACTACAAAACTCCCAAAGTCTGTCATCAGCGTGGAAAAAGGAAAACAGGTTCTGGGCAGGATAAGCTGCTACAGTGAATACTCTGCACTCCTGCATGTCAGATCACGGCAGAGAAAAAAAAGCTTCACCTCTGTCTTTTTGCATGCACCAATTAACCAGAAAAGCAAATTATAAAGCAAACCGATTCCAATCAAAAAAAGAGTTCTTAAATTGATGAAACCAACCCGTTGCTACATGTTGATGTTGTTCATGGATGATTGATGTTGGCAGGATGCAAAGAAAGGTTTTTTTTGGGAGGGAGCAGCAGGTGTGCAACATACAGACGAAGACATGGATTTTCATATTGGGTGTTGATTGGATGGCGTGATTCAGCAGGACCGTTGGAGAAAATAAGGAACATAAACAAGAGGAAATGAGAAATCAGATGAGCAAAACTAAACTCAGTTTTTAAAAAAAGACATCTCTTGAATCAAATTACAGTCCAGCAAATCAGTGTTTGAACTCATGACCTTCACAGTGATGCTGAAAAGGACTATCTTGGAGTAAATCAGAATGTGGGCTCATTGCAGATTTACCAGGAAATAAAAACCAATACAAGAAATAAGGAGCGACAATTTTTATCCAACTAGTGAAGACCTAGGAGTTGAATAGCAATTTTATAGCCGAATAATCATGTGATATGTAACTCAAAAGGTCTAAAAATTCTATGTTGCCACCAGCTTCTAACAAATGGCAGCAATTATAAGCACATCAATTTTTCATTACAAGGAAGAGGCTCTTTGTTAACTTATTTCATACCTAGGTATTTTGAACATTTTTTCTACTGCATTGGGTGTCACTTTAACTCAATAATGTTTAGTACAGCATAGTAATTTGCTCAGGAATATATTTCACTTTACAATTATTGAAGGGTACATTTTGCAGTGCTGTGTTACTGATGCAAAGTTTCATTCAATGGCATCAGAGATTGGGATGGATTTACCGTGTTCAGTTATGTCAGCGTTCGACTTTAAACACTGGGATAAAAGCTCAATACTGGAAAAATTGCATACTCGAAAGTCAGACTCCTTCTCTCCAACTCTTCAACTTTTCCATTTCATGAAGTACTTCTCCTGACACGATTCCCATAAAATTTACCCTGCACTAAGCTTAACTGTTACAATTTTATTGCAGTGCAAATGCAAAACTAAAGGGCAGGGACAAACCAGTCCTGTGAGGCAGTGTGTTCCAGAAAGTTCTACTGGAAATCTATGTACAATGACCATCAGGTGACAAAAGGATCAGCCTTGACAGTGATGCTGCCAACAGTTAAATAGCAGTAATCGCTGTGCAGAGTCAAACACAATTAATCGCAAGTTGAATGTGGTCTTGTCGGCCTAATGATGCTGAAGAACTGTAGCCCAGCTCCAGTCAGCAGCTGCAGAAGAGAAAGGGATTTTTTTTTTAAATTTCAAGTATCCCTTAGTTGACAGAGTCAACAGATGTGAAGCTGGAAAAGCACAGCAGGTCAGACAGCATCCAAGAAACAGGTTCGGGCCAAAACCCTTTGTCAGGGCTTCATCAGGTTTGTTTTTCTCCTCGGATGCTGTCTGACCTGCTGTGCTTTTCCAGTTTCACATTTATTGACTTTGGCTTCCAACATCTGCAGTCCTTACTGTCTCCATATCCCTAAGTTGACATGGCTGTAAACTTAAAGGAAAGTAAAAGAAAGTAACCTCATTTTAACCTGTGCTCACTAACCGGTAGTAATGGATGATTACTCAAAGTTATCTTGAATTGTCGCTCCTAAAGGAATATACTGACACAAATAAAAATTATAATTGCATGAATACAAATGCATTATTTATTGATTTGCATTAAAGAATAAACAATACAAGCTGTAGGTGGATAGGATGTTTAATAATAATAATAATGATTGTGGCTGAGGTGCAATTTTAATACATCTCATGAGAAACCATTTACTAATTTAATCATGCACAAATCAACCAGATGGGTCACCTGTTGTACATCTGTCACATTCTGCAGAATATCCAAGAAACCCTTTTTTACCTAGGAAAGCTCAACTTAATACCATATATTAGTTTGTGGTAAATTTCATGTATTTTTACTTAAATGCCTGAATATGAATACCTCCATTTTAACTTGCTAAGCTAACAAAGTCCACCATTAGTGAAAATTAACACCCAAAGCAGAACAGACTTCTAATAAACGGTAGGTAAGGGAACAGCTAGAACTGATGGCTTCCAATCAAGATGGAAAGGACCCATCTCTTTCAGGTGTTGACTTGTGTATACGTGTAGGTGTTGAACCATGCATATTTGCAGAAATCTTGGCTCCTTTTCCTTTAAGTCCTTAATTTGCATTTTTCCCTTCATCTTTTCCTCCCAATGTTTTCTGTCATGCAAGTCTTCCTAGTGGACATTTCAGGTGCAAATCCAGGCCAGTAACTAACTGATTCCAAATAACACAAATGTCTCAGGGAGGGACTGACCACTCTAATATTTCCTCCTAAAGGAATATAGTGAAATACTCTGCCGAGTCATTAGGGAAAATGTAATCTTAAATTTGTTTCCTTTGGGAATAAATGAATAGTTTAATCTTCTCAATATAGCCTCAAGAAGATCCCCGCCCTCTCAAGTTGGGAACCTCAAGTAACTTCTTAAGTCTAACTTACAATGGAATCAAGTTAGTTGAGAACTCGACTTGTGCGAAGCAAGTCTTCCATATTTTTATGGGAGATTACTATCAGTAAAATGATTGGAAGAATCAACATGTTTTTCTTTATCACCACCATTTTAAACATCACTAACATAACTTTACAGGGCAGATCAACTCAAAAGCCCCAAGACTTAGGAGATATGGGACTCACTAATGTCAAGACATCATCAAGGATGATCACAAGATAAATACAGACGATGAAAGAAATCAATGTTTTCTTGTAGATCACCCACCAGGGTGGTTTTGCTATTCCCCATCTCATTTCATCACTTAGAAGCTTAAATTAATCTTGGGCTCTCACCGTTACATTGAATGCAATTTGAGGAGCTTTAGAATTCAGGACTAACTGAGTATACAACAGAACTTGGCTGGCATTTCTGGAAAGCTCCCAGTTGCATTTTCGGCCAAACGAAATGATGCCAATGAATATTGACTTGTTTGTAGAAACATCCTGACAAAACCTCATGGCTGATGCTGGCTAAGTAGGTCTCTGGTGAGTCTACAGTCAAGTACAGCTCGTTACATAGTTGCATTAACATGAAAAGTAAGTTTACTTGCAACAAGATCATAGATTTATTTGTGGCAAGTACATTATATTGGAAGCACTTTATTTATATTTTTTTCTTCCAAAGCATCTGTAATTTCAGTCAGAATTGTTGAAAGGTACTTTAAAAAAACTAAATTGATTTTTAAAATTTTTAACAAGAACAACAATGTATTAGTTTGTTGCTCACAGTGAAAAGTTGACAGTCACTCCAGGTAAGCTACAAAAAGTATACAATTTGCTACCAATTTGTTGAGTATTCTCCAACAAATGTGAGATACGAATATTTTTTTCCGAACTTCCCTCAAGTCCCTTAAGTCAGGGATTGATGTTAAACCCAGGAAAAAGGTAAAAGAATAATTAATGTTGAAAAGTTTAATGGAGAAGCATCAAAAATGATTCCATCAACTTTATTTTAACAAACAAATTAGTCCACTTAAAAACAACAGGTCAATACTTTAGTTAAAATAGAAAGCAAAGAACCATACTAAACTCCTGATCGCTAACAGCACCATTAATAATCTCGAACATGTAATTTTCCATCTTTCTTGGTGTCAGTTTTGTTGTGGAGATGAAGGATAGCCATGCAGCGGGTTAGAATATCAATAACATTAAACCTATTTAAAGTTGTTTCTGGGCACTAACATCTATTGATTGCACGTCCATTTCCATTGTTCTAAACTGAACACCTTTGGAAAATCCCTTTATACCATTTCCATTCCCTATCACAGTTTCCAGTGAAGCTGCAAAATGGGTATTACCCAAAGTCAAAGTGTGGAAGATCATCGGGCTGTGGGCTCCTGGTGAATTTAGACTGCAGGCTGAAACTGCCTGGTATCCGTGACTAAATGAGACTTCAATCTGCCACCATCTGGCAGGCTGGATCCAATCCCAGTTTTCAGGAGTGAAATGTTGATTTACTTACTTCATTTCATTTTTTGTCCATAATCTGATGCTTTCAGAGACTGGGGGGTCAAGAGAAAGCTGACTACAACATAATGAATCTATATCTGTTCTACCCCATGCTCATTAAATAGGAAGCTGGAGGGGGAAGTGGGGCTGGGAAATGTGTGGTGGTCTATGGAGAGGCAGAAGCATTTGGAAAGATAGTGAACCAGAATGAAGCCACATCACATTCTTCCCATTCAATTTTCTACCCGTGGCATCCCCGGCTATTAGTTGAGGTACAGTCAAAGCTGAGAAAGGCCTGGAAAGTACATATACAACCATAATTATCTGAAACAGCTTTCATAACATTTCCAGAGCCTGTACTACCCCCAAAACATCACCTCATATAAAGAATTTCTGTTGCAGTATAAATAGTGGAATTCAACACATCCTCATCATGCCAATTTAAATGAACCAAACTGGTAAATTTGGTGTTTATTCATTGTTCCAAAAGAAAAATTCAAATGCCGATTATGTAAGAATCCAGTTCAACATTACGCTGCACCTCAACCATTGGAGTGAAAGTAGATTTTAAAATAACAGCTTGATTTAGGGGAGATACACTTACCGCCAGCTCAGTGACTAAAATATCAGTAATACTTCCCAATACAGTAACAAAGTCAAACACATTCCATGCATCGCGGAAGTAGTTCTAAATCAAATAAAGAAGGGAAAATCATGATCAGATTGCCATCAAGTTAAGTGCTCAACTTTGTAGTCATTCATGTATCGTTGCAAGATAGTCTATGTATGTGAAACTGAGCTATCTTGCTGTTTCAGTTTCACTTCCTACACCAATTGTATAGTATAATTGTTAAATAATCCAAAGTGTACTTTGTGGCAAAGTGCGATAACACCAACAGGAAGCAGTCTGCTGCCACAGTCGCTACATTACAAATATTTTCACAGCCTCATTGGACCAACCTGAGACTTTTATACTAAAGCTCTGGGGCAGGCAGCTGTTTGTCAAAAGACAATTTTAACAAAATACAAGTGAGTGGACTTCTCTGTGTGAATTTTTGGATAGATTTCCAGTTTTTCAAGGAAGATTGTAACACAGAATTTTGCACTAAAATTTGGGCCTTTGCATTATGTTGCTTCAGGCCAATCTCAGACAAGTACATATACGACTGACACGCCTAGAAGGTGATATACCTGATTAGTGTTGCATGGGCACCTTGCCTTTAAGAACTCCACGTGCCGTATATTTACAATGTGGCGACTTTGCCTTATGGTGAGTCCGCTAATGATTTGCAAGTAGCACACAGAAATGATTTGGTTTGCTGTAATGTCTGCTTTACAACTTACAATTGGTTTTAGTGTTTGCAATAAACTAACTTAGCAGTTAAATAATCCCTGATGAGCAAATGACCATAAGACATTATCATAATCATGTTAATCAGTATCAATGGAAAAATAAGATACAAAACTTCCACTTTAATCATAATTTTTAAACTAACTGATCTTTTTCTTCATTTTTGGCAAGGCATAGTTACCTTAGTTTATGAAAGCAATTATGAATTTTTACATTAACACAAATAACTGTCAGAAATAGTTCAATCATGCAGGTCCAAAGCTTAACAGGAGTGGTAAATGTTAGAGTTATTAAAAAATATCAAGAATATTGCAGATTAATAACTAAAAAGACCTCTACCAATCAATAGAATGTTTTACATTGCATTTGTAAAGTATTTTGTCATATCTTTCAGTAACATTCCAAAGAGTTCTTCATAAAATCAAATAAATGTGAAGTGCAAGGTTATTGCAATGTGGGTAAATGAGACAGTCAACACGTACGCACATCATAAAGTGTACACAAGCAGTGACTGCTTTAGCAAAATTTGTTGAGGAAAGAATATAAACGAGAAGGATTTGCTACCCTTATTTAAAATGAGATTTTTTGGTCTATCCAAACAGGCAGTTTATCCGAAGCACAAGGGCTCAGATCGTAACAGAGTAGATCATGTGCTCAAATTCTGAAGAGTTTAAAGCCATATCTTGCTGACTCAGAGATAAGACTGAGACCTACAAAGCCAACCACTGATTACTTATGAACTTAGATATTTGTTTAATGGAGCTGCAGCTTTGGCAGGTTATAGAAAACATTAATTTTCTCTATTCGATAGTGAAACTATATTTCAGTAATATCTTCACAAGACTTTTTTATTCCAAGACACTGATTTTTTTTTAATATATCACATTACAACTGATTTGTTAGTTGAATTGAAATGTAACATACCAGAATACCAAATGCAATAAGCTTCAGCACGCACTCCATGGAGAACAGAAAAGTGAATAATATGTTCAGGTACTGCAGCATTCTGTCATAAGGGTCAGGAGCATTATAAAACTACACGAAATGTAAAGAAAACACAAAGAATCAATACCAGTCCTTTGGAGAATTTTGATTAAATAAACCAGGATTACAATTTTTGTACAAGGAGTAAAATAATTTCCTGCCCAGAAAAAAAGGAGTCTATTTGTTTCCCTTAAACACAGCTATGTTGAGGATATTGGAAAACTGATTTGCACTGCAGGTTGATTGTTCAAATACAAATATTCATTGATGTCCACATGAAACTTCCATCAGCATTACTTCATTCGTTCCCAAGTTTACATGAAATTACGTTGTTTCATCCTCTCTACTTTCAAACATCAACTAGTGATGCACAAGTAACAATTTCCCATACTGTCGCTAGAGTTGTAAGAGGCCCTTCAGCCCATCGTGACCATGCTTCTCAAATCCCACTTTCCAGCACTTGGCCTGCAGCCAAGTATGCTATGACAGTTCAAGCTGTCATCTAAATACTTCTTACGTGTTGTGAGAGTTCCTGCCTCTATCACCAACCAATAAAGGCAAGTATCTTTCTTCTCCACCTTACTCGCCTGTCCTGCTCCCTTCAAGGATCTTGCACATGCATAATAAGGTGCTTCTGATCCATTGTACTTCTTAGGGTCCTGTAACTCATCATTTATTCTATTGCTTTGTTGGTCCATCCAAAATGAATCACCTCGCACTTTTCAGGTTTAATCTCACCGCTGTGCCCACTTGACCAGCCTGTCTATATCTTCCTGCAGTCTAAGACTTTCCTCCTCGCTATTTACCAAAGCACTCAATTTTGTGTCATCTGTGAACTAATTGATCATACCTCCTACATTTACGTCTAGAATATTACTATCCACTGCAATCAGAAATGGAGGAGGAATTCCAGTTACAAAAACAAACTTCAATCATCACCCTCTGTCGCCTGGCACTCAGCCAATTTTGAGTCCAATTTGCCAAATTGCCCTGGGTTTCATGGACTCTTACCTTCCTGACCAGTTTCCCATGCAAGGTTTTGTTAAATGCCTTAGTGAAGTCCATGTAGACTAGATCAACTGAATTACCCTCATTTATATACCTAATCACAAAAATACAATCAAATTTGTGAGACATTGTCTCCTCCTGACAAAGCCATGCTAACTACCGTCAATCAATCCTTGTCCCTCCAAGTAGGGTCTGTCTGTCCCCCCCAAAATTTGTTCCCAAAGGTTTCCATACTTCTGATGGTCATCTCACTTGCTTTAGTTCCCTGGCTTATCTTTAACACCTTTCTTGAATAATGCTAACACATTAGCTGCTCTCCATTCCTATAGTACCTCTCTTGTGTCCAGAGAGGAATTGAAAATTGATGTCAGAGGCACCTCTCCACCATCCCATATATCTCATTTGAGCCTGGGAATTTCAAATTTCCAAACTTGCTAAAGCTGCTAATACCAGCTCTCTCTCAATGCTAATTTCTTCAAGTAATCACAGACCACCTTCCTGATTTCGATATCTACATCTTCCTTCTCTACAGTGAATACAAAGCACTCATTTAAAACCTCAACTATGTCTTCTGGTTCCACACACTTGGGCCCAACTCTTTCACTGTTTATCAACTTGTTATAGAGTCACACAGCACTGCAACAGGCCCTTCAGCCCAACTCATTCATGCCAGTCAGGTTTCCTAAACTGAACTAGTTCCATTTGCCTGCATTTGGCCCATATCCTTCTAAACCTTTCCTATCCATGTACCTGTCCAAATGGCTTTTAAATTTTGTAATTGCACCTGCCTCTACTACATCCTCTGACAGTTAATTCCATATATGCACCACCTTCTGTGTGAAGAAGTTGTCCCTCAGGTCCCTTTTAAATCTCACTCCTTTCAACTTAAACCTATATCCTCTAGTTTTGGACTCCCCTACCCTGGGGAAAAGACCTTGGCTATTCACCTTATTTATGCTCCTCACGATTCTATAAACTTCGATAGGATCGCCCCTCAGCCTCCTACACTCCAGAGAAAAAAAGCCCCAGCGTATTCAGCCTCTCCCTACAGCTCAAACCCTCCAATCCTGACAACATCCTTGTCTGTACCCTGTCCAGTTTAATAACATCTTCCCAATAGGAGGGCGATCAGAATTATACACAATTCGAAATGTGGCCTCACTAATGTCTTGTACAGCCGTAATATGACATCCCAACTCTTATACTCTGTGTTCTGACCGCTGAACAACTTCTTCACCACCCTGTCTACCTGTGACACCACTTTCAAGGAACTATGCACCTACACCCCAAGGTCTCTTTGTTCAACAACCCTACCAGGGCCCTACCAATAACTGTGTAAGTCCTGCCCTGACTTGTCTTACCAAAATGCAACACCTTGCATTTGCCTAATCATTGTTTCAATGATTGACTTAGCAGTCAATGATTTGTTTACCAATTATCTTGTGACAGTTCTTTTTTATTGATTGCTCCATGGATGGAATCATCAAAATTGGTGTTGCTGATTTTTTTTTTAATTTTAATTTCCTCAAGGCCAGTCTCATGAGCAGTAATCAGAGTTTTTATTACACTGACCATGCAATGCACTGGTAATAAACTATTCATTTCCTCTCAAGAAACACACAAATGAATGTCATCATATCAAGTTTTTTTTAATATAAACACCAACAAAAGTACGTGGTTTGAAGTGAACCATTAACTGCAATTAAAAAAAACAGCTTAGAATTAAATTAGACCACCAACTAATTTATGTGGTTGGTATAAAACAAGACAGGTTATTTTAATCTGGATTCAAGTTCAAATGACATTTGTAAATTGCTTATTCATCACAAATTATGACAGTAAGTACTCCTGAATGGGATTCCATTAGTTCCAAATCCTACTATGGTAACGTAGTTTTTTTTTAAACGATATAATGGGTAATAACCACAAGCCAAGTGACTACTTGATACAAAATTTTCAGCTTAAAACATGATAATTTCCAATTGCCTATCGGATTCTTGATGATGACTATTGTACATGAACTTTGGGTGACAGTATGAACAGGCACACCAATTCAGCCATCCTGTCATATCTCGCTCACATCTTTCATTTCTATTGAATGGATGACTAATCCACTATAGCCCAAAGTAAAAATTATCACTACTCTTGCTCTGGATAATGCAATTGTCCAACTGTGCACAGACAGCTATTTCAAGCATTTTTAACTTGTGCTGAAGACTGCTCTGTTACTTGTGAAAATAAAAGATTAGGTTTCTTAATGGCAAAATGCCACATAAAAGATTTGGCGTTCTTTAAAGCAGATTTTTTTCGTCACAAAAATCACCGAAGCAAAATTTCTAATTGTGTTTGAAGTACAGCAAATAACAGCATTCAAATTACCTCAGTTTTGTAGAGTGTTTGCTGTTGCATCTTACCTTCATCATCAGCACTACAGTATTGATTGCGATCATAGCCATAATAAAATATTCAAAAGGAGGGGAGACCACAAATCTCCACATCTTGTACTGAAAAGTTTGCTTGTTCTGTGGCATGTAGCGAGTCAGTGGTTTGGCACTTATAGCGAAATCAATACAGGCTCTCTGGAAGGAAACAACCAATGTGTCTGAATTGAACAAGGTTATAATTATCACAACATTTTTGCCTTGTAACATTTGAAGGGCAAAGTAAAAATCACACAATATTCAAAAATGCAACCTAAAGATATACTTATGCAGTACTTTTCAACAAGAAAGCATCATGAACTAACAGTGAAATAATACCATTTGTATTATTTGTACATTTGTACAGCAACTGTACTACCTCCAATTCATTTCACGTATGCTACATCAAATCTTGCATCCTAAGTTGAGCTACCAGATAGGAAGTAATTGCAAATGCGAGGGGAAATTAAAAAAAAGTTACAGACAGCCATTATAATTTGGCTACTTTCATTCATAAGGCCATTTAATTTTACTTCTGTCCTTCGTTCACTGTTTCCTTTATTAGCTCCCTCATAACAGTGCCCTCTTCAATTTCTTCTCACTGATTAATCACATTGCATTTTCTATACTTTATTTACATCCTTTACTCTTATGTAATCTGTGTGTGCCCTAATTACTATCTCTGCCCTAGTCTGAAGTTCTCTTTCTATTTCACAGTCAGCTGCCAGTTTGTATGATCCTTCTAACTTGTTTTCACTCTCGTAAACATAATGTGCTGTCTGTCCTACATTCAAATGTTCCATCATTACAAACTCTCTGCATCATATATTCACTGTCTCTACTATTTACACTTCTCTCTGTATACTACATTAAGTCATATATGCAGTATTCACCTCTTTATCATTGTACAGAAATTATCCATTATCTGTGCTCTAAATAGCTCAACCCTTTGGTGAATTTCATTTATTGAGTTTTCTAAATGATTAGTTTTAATATTAAAACTTGTCAAAATAATTGATTGGAACAATTAGTTCTTCTAATAATGTAAAACATAAAATATAGAAAAATATTTTCAATGGCTGTATAGGTCATTATGAGTACTTGAGAATGAGTAGACTTTATTAAAAAGGAAGAAATTATTCTGCCAGTTTGGAAATATCAAATGTCAGTTTGGAATAATAAGTCTAAGTGTATTCAATATTGAACATTCCAGTTGAAAAAAAGTAAATTACTACAATTTATTTCTTTATTCTTGGGATGTGGGCATTGTTGGATATGCCAGCATTTATTGCCCGTCCCTAACTATCTTTGAAAAGGTGGTAGTGAGCCACTTTCCTGACTCTTGCAATCACATGGTGTAGATACGCCCACAGTGACGTTCAGAAAGGTGCTCCAGGATTTTGACTCAGTGATAATTGAGGAACAATCATATGGTTCCAAGTGAGGATGGAGAGTGATTTGGAGGGGAATTTGCAGGTTGTGGTTTTTCATGCGTCTGCTGTCCTAGTCATTCTAGATTAAAGTGATCATGAGTTTGGAAGGTACTGTTGAAGGGAGCTCAGTGAATTGCTGCATTATATTCATTGTACAAAGTGTTGGTAGTGTACATCATTGGTGAAGGGAGTGAATGTTTAAGGTGATGGATGGGGTGCCAATCATGTCTGCTCCTTTGTTCTGAATGGTGGCCTGTTTCTTGAGTGTTGTTGCTGTTACACTCATCCAGGGAAGTGGAGATTATTCTATCACACTCTTGATTTGTGCCTTATGGATGGTGGATAGGATTTGGGGAGTCAGGAGGTGAGCTAATTATCACAGAACTCCTAACCTTTGACCTGCTCTTGTAACCAAAGTACTTAGAGATCTAATTCAGTCAGTTTCTGGTCAGGGGTAACACTCACGATGTTTACGGTGGGGCATTCACCAATGGTAATGTCAAGGGCCAATGATTAGATTCTTTCTTGTCAGAGAGGGTCAGGTTTTATCCTTTAATCCCAGAGATGAAAAGCAACCTTTAAGGAAATTTAGAAATAGAGTAGTCGATAAGTAGGTCAGCAAATATTACATTTTTGATGCATACCTCATTTTTCTCGAGACTGCACTCAGACAGCACCTTATCGCCCTGTTCCTGGAATGTAATGATAATAAGTGCAACAAAAATATTCACAAAGAAGAATGGAAACACAACAAAGTACACAACATAAAAGATGGACATTTCCATGCGATAGCGGGGGCTGGGTCCCTGATCCTCTTCTGTAGCATCCACCGAATGTTTCAAAACTCTGAGGAAGAGAAAACAAACATGTTATGAAGTTAATTCACAATCCATTAGAGACAACAAATCTTTATTTTATCAGCAGAAAACCTGTGGCCCCAAATTTACACATGGTCACAAGGAACTTAGACTGTCTACTCCACGTCCCAAACGCTTCTAAAATTCAGTCTACTCTAATAGATATTAAAATTATATTTGAATTGTTTAATGACTTTTAAATTCTAATTAGATGAACCAGTTCCATTTAACACTGAACAATACAATGCTGTATGTAAATCATTTCACTTATGTTGGTTAAGAAATCCATCTTTTCTATAAGCTATAAACAATCATAATTTTCAATGAGATCCTCACCACAGCTTCAGAGGAACTGAATAAACAGCCCATCTGAAGGATTTCCAGTATAACAAGAGAAAAAGAGCAATATTAGGCACATTACCATTATATCATATCAGCCATGCATCCAAACACGAGATCTGTCACCCTGCCAAGTCTTGGAATTTCTGCTCGTCATCTCCCTCAAAGTTTCATAAGCGTTTGCATCTCAGATGACAATGTCTTCCCTTATGTTTCTGCCAGCCTATAATCTTTCTCTCTCCATACTCCTTCTGCTACCACTCTTTGTTTTATCCATAAACTAGTGTGCTCCTTTACATTTTGCCAGCACATGCCTTCGAACCTCTTCCTGCATGCTGCTCCGCTTCTGCTGCTAAGTCATTATTGTAGTGATACACTGAACATCATTCCTTCACACCTCCATGAGTAGTCCTGTCCTCCAACCAAGTATGCTGTTTTATACCTAGCCTTGTTATCATCTCATCATTACTTTTACTCATCTCTGATAATCAATGTTTCCAGCATCATGAGCCTTAACCTTCCACCAGAGCCCAATCAAAAACTCTTTAGGTTCTGGCATCTAAAATATTCCAGGTTTCTTCAAATTGCTAATACAAAAAAACACTGACCCAACTCCCAAATTTCCATGCCCAATTACTGAATACTGAAACCCTAGGTTTGATAGATACCTTTTTTGATAGATCATGTGTAAAACATTTTTTTAAAAAATGAAATAGTAAGAACTGCCAATGCTGGAGTCAGAGATAACACAGTGTGGAGCTGGAGGAACACAGCAGGCCAGGCAACATCAGATGAGCAGGAAAGGTAACGTTTCAGTTCGGGACCTTTCTTCAGAAATGGACCTACTCATGCTGATGCTGTCAGGCCTGCTGTGCTCCTCCAGCTCCACACTGTGTTATCTTTTTAAAAAATGAATTGCCTTTGAGTTTTATATGCAGGTCCTTTGTTTGAAATCTGTGCTGTTAATCACCTGACCGCACAGATACTGCATTTACTGTTCCACATAATTGTATTTAGCATGTCTATCTGAAACTCTTTCAGATAGCAGTAAGAACACTAGAAAGAAGTCACGGTACAAATTATTTGGATCTGCCTTGAAAACGAATAAAATTTCTCTCAATGAGATAAAGTCACATATAAGATACAATGCATTGGTTGTGTGTTGCATTTAGCAATGAGACAATTGAAAATAAGTGGATCAATTCAGTATCTTGTCATGTCTCTCAGAAACAAAGTGCTTTACTTAAAAGTCACTTACTTTGAAGAGACATGACCAACTTATAATCAGATATGACAAACCTGAGTGCAGCAATCAAAAAACACTCATTCTGTCAAAATTTAAAGTCGGCTGTGATTGCAAGCTAAAGGAACAGATCAGACTGCCTTATTGCAATCCTGTTACCACATAATTGTGCAGCTTGTGTCACTGTATTTTCTGCAGCCTATCATAAAACCCGCTAAGCCTAGTGCATCTGAGTTTTCACAACTTAAGTTGCAGTTTTGCATCGGTTAATTCCCAAAGAAACAATATTTTTAACGACTCTCAGCAATCAAACACCCATGAACACAGTACTTACATTGGCCAGCCTTCACCAGTAGATACAGTGAATAGTGTCAATAAGGCCCACAGCACGTTATCATAGTGGAACTCATACTTCTTCCATTCCCTGGGTTTTGCCTCAATCTCATCATTGTCATAAACTAGATATTGGCCCCTACAAAATACACAGTGACTGGATCAGCAGAAGGAATATTTTTGTCTGAAAAGTTCCTCAACAAATTATTAATAATTTTAATGACTAATTTTCTATGACTCAAGGAAAGTTTAAAGGAAATATTTGTGAGGTTAGATATTTTGGAATATTACGAAGACTCCCATTAACTTAAATAGAAACAAAAAAATGTTGGAAATACTCAACAGATCTAGCAGCCTCTGTGGAGAGAGGAACAGAGCAAACATTCTCAGTCAATTTGACTCATGGAGAGGGGAAGATTAACATGCAGCTCCCATTAACACTAGTCCACTGTTGAATATATTTTCAAATGGGATAAAGTTGTTCCATTGATCTGGAATGCTTACCAGGGATTTCAGACACAGACTAGGATACACTGGCAAAGTCAAACTAACAAGATCACACTATGCCACAATGAAAAGTTGGTCCAGGTATCTGTAAAATATTTTCTTTAAAATCTCAACATAGCAAGAAATACAAACCAAGCCTATCCCAATGTTAAGAATGTTAAATCAGAATGCTTTATAAATCTATGAAAGCCACTGTACATCACTCTCAGTTTTATTTTCTAAAGACGTAGATGATACAAAATAAATATGAACTGGTGACAGTTCTGTGTTGGGGTTTATTTGTCTAATTGAGTACTGCTAGTCAGTAGGAGAGTGAGTGGAAATTTAACTTTCACTTCCTGGGAGGTAATCCAGCGAAGATTACTCGTCCAGAATAAATCCTCCTTGATTTTCATCACATTTTGGATGTTTTTAACTCTACTCAAAAAGATCATTAGAATTGATCAGGGACCTTATCCTCTCTGGAGTCACATGGAGTTGACCAGTTCTAATTGCAACCTGATCTATAGATCAGGCAGCAGGAGAGATGTGGTCAAATCAGGCAAGGTCATGCTTAACATATACATTGCAATGATCCAAACTGCAATTTTAATTTGGAAGCCTGACCTGGATTCCACTATGAATTTACTGCCAGGCCAAACTGGGAGGGATGTGGAGAGTTAAAAATAAAAAAAAAAAATAAATATTACAAATGTTAAAACTTTTTTTTTGTATTTTCCTTGGGAATCAAAAAAAATTAAACCATTGCTTCAGGATGCTCCACAACAACAGGCTTAAGCCTCACCTGCCACTGATTCACACAACCCCTTCTCAATTCTACAGTCTCACAGGTTGGTTCTGGTACCAGATCCTGCCATGAACCCAATTCCGACCGACTCTGGAGATTTTCTGCAGCTAACTCCCACCTGACATTGGTGAGATGCCGGCGGGAGGGACTGGAGAGGTTTCTCACTTTGAACCCTAAATTGGTCTGGAGTACAAATCGGGTTAATTACTTCAACTTGTCTGTTAAAGGCTGCTTGCTATGAATAATGTTAAAGATTCAAATATGAATAAAGGGTGTGAAAAAAGATTAAAGGTATTGTTTTGATTGAAGACATTGCACTGTTGGAAAGAGCAGATGTCTTTAAGGGGAAAAGGACAGAGTCTACTTGTTCAAAGTTGAGGAACAAAAAGTTAAGATCACACTGCATGAGGTATTCTAGAGACCTTCAAGTAGTAACTGAGATATAGGGAAACCAATCTGTTGGGGAATCACAGAGATGTGCAAGAATACAGAGTGGGGATACCGGGGGGAGGGGCTTAAATTACCCAACTATCAACTGGCATAATATTAAGGGTGAGGAAGAAAAGGAACAGGAGAACTCTGTTGATCAGTGCGCTCTTGCTCAACTGGGGCATTTCTGGGCCCAGGTGGGTCAATTGCTTGCAAGAAAGATTTGAGTAAGAGTGATCATCATCCTATAAGGTTTACACTAATGACGGAGAAGAGAAAGGAACAAATTTAGATAGAATTTCCAATTTGAAAGGGGCTAATTTCAATATGATGAGAAGAGATCTAACTAAGAGCCTGGGAAGAAGATGGTGTTAATGACATGGAGCTGTACCTGTAGGGGAGCCGGGGCTCATTGGCCAAGTAGCCTGTCAATCAGGACGGTCAATGTCCAAAGCAGCCAATTTGGCATGGAGTCTATCCTGATTGATGAGTTAACTGGCCAATGATTGCTGTTGTTCTGAACAACTGCATTAATTGGTCAATCCAACAGGTACCCGATTCCCCGGTCTCTCCCTTCCCCCCTTCCTCATGTGGTGACTCATGGACTAATCTGTTGGACAGGGCCAGAGACTGCTAGAGCACAAGGTAAAAATGAAAGTACCTCATAGTGCCTCACCTCTATCTAGAAGGCCCTTTTCAACCTTGTTCTGCAATATGTGTGGCTATTCTGACATGAGACCTGACCTCCTCCATCCATCTATTCCCTTTTGATAGTCTTCCAGGACTGATGGCTCCTTCCTCCACATGTACTTCCCACCCCAATCTCTTTCTTCCTTTTCAGTGGTGTCTCATGGTTGATGGTTCCTCTCACCATCCACTCTACTCCCAATTCCCAAGACAACCTCCTCCCTCTTTTCCCAATGCTGTCTCATCAAAGCATATCTGCCTGCCTCCTCTACCTTCCTCCCAAAATCTAGCCACTGGGAGAGGAGGAAAGGCCAGGCTGAAAAATAACTTGCATCCAAACCCTATTTTCATCCCAATCACACAGAGGCCAATTGGCAGCGTGCACCATGTGAGGCGAATGCAAGTTTATCTCAACTCCTTTGCTTGGCCTTAATTGCCTCCCCTTTCCCTGATAAATAGGATATTGTGCCTAGTCTGTCCTCTTTTAGCGTTAGTTCTCAAGCAAAAAGGCAAAAATGGTTTTGTTAGATCGCTGTGTTGCTTAGCACTTTTTAACCGTCATTTTTATTAACTGCTTATTTTTGAAAGAATGATCAATTTATTCCTTTGAAACTTTGTTGACCCAGCCAGTTTTGCCCACATCCTGTGAATGAATAAAAAATTGTGTTTGACTAATGTGATTGAATTTTTGATGAAGGAACAGGGATGGTTGATGAAGATCATGAACCTTTGCATAAATTATTTGGATCTTCGAACATGAAGTAAAATTTCAAGGTTTTTTGAAGATACCAAACATGAAGGAGTGGTAACAGTGAAGATAATATGATGATGTCTGCAACAGGACATAGATAGGCTAGCAGAATGTGTAGATGAGTGGCAGATGGAATTCAATATACAGAAACACAAGGCAATATGGTTTGGAAGTAGTAACGAGCTGTATAGATTTAATGGCAAAATCCTAAAAATATGCAGGAAAAATGGAACCAGTGGTCGTGTGAGCATTGATTTTTGAATATAGCAGGACACATTGATAGAATGGTTAATGAAACATATGGGATCCTAGCCTTATAAATAGAGCCATCGAATAAAAAAGTGCAGAGGTTTTGTTGAACCACTTTAGAGTTCACCATATATGTTAATGATTTAGATGAAGAAACTAAATGTATTGAGGTTGGTTGGCTCGCCAGCTGGTTTGTTGTTCCGCAGACGTTTCATTACCGTGCTTGGTAACATCCTCAGTGCAGCCTCTGATGAAGCGTTGGTGTGTTTTCCCGCCTGGTTTTTAAACGCTGGGGTCCGTTGCAATGGATTGCCTCACTTCCGGGTTTCCTCCATAGTGGAATGTATATGGGGTCGAGTTCAATGTGTTTATTAATAGCCTGCTTCGTGGAGTGCCATGCTTCCAGGAATTCTCGTGCTTGTCTCTGCCTAGCCTGTCCCAGGATCTTGGTGTTGTTCCAGTCGAAGTGGTGGTTCTCCTTGTCCATGTGGATTGAGATGAGTGAGTATTAGTCATGTGTTTTTGTAGCCAGTTGGTGTTCATGTACTCTTGTTGTTAGTTTCCTAGAGTTTAAAAAACCAGGCGGGAAAACACACCAACGCTTCACCAGAGGCTGCACTGAGGATGTTACCAAGCACGGTAACGAAACGTCTGCGGAACAACAAAGCAGCTCGGCGAGCCAACCAACCTCAACACCCACAACCCGAGCTACAGACCTAGTCCAAAACCTTATAAACTAAATGTAATATCTCCAGATTTGTAGATGACACAAAACTGGGTGAGAGGGTGAGCTATGAGGAGGATGCAAAGGTGTTGCAGTATGATTTAGACAAGCTGAGTGAGGAGGCAAAAGCATGGCAGATATAATATAATGTGAATAAATATGAGGTTATCCACTTTGATGGCACAAATAGGAAGGCAGATTATTATTTGAATTACTGTAAATTGAAAGTGGGGCATGTTCATTGAGACCCGGGTGCCCTTTTCATTAGTCGCTGAAAGTAAGCATGTGGGTGCAGCAGGCAGTAAAGAAGGCAAACTGTGTGTTGACATTCATAGTGAGAGGATTCAAGTATAGTAACAAGGATTTCTCCCTGCAATTATACAGGACATTGGTGAGGCCATATCTGGAAAATTGCATTGGTCTCTTTATCTGAGGAAGGATGCTCTTGCTATATAGGGAGCGCAGTGAAGATTTATAAATTGATTCCTGGGGATGGCAGGTCTGATGAATGAGGAGACATTGATTCGGTTAGGATTGTATTCACTGGAGTTTAGAAGGATGAGAGGGAGATCTCATAGAAACCGACAAAATTCTAACAGGATTAGACAGGTTAGATGCAGGAAAGATGTTCCTGATTTTGGGGAGACCAGAACCATCAAGGATCATAGGTTAAGGATAAAGGATAAACCATTTAGGACTGAGGTGAAGAGGAATTTCTTCACACAGAGAGTGGTGAGCCTGTGGAGTTGTAGAGGCCAGAACATTGTGTTTTTCAAGAAGGTGGAAGATATGGCTCTGTGGCCACAGGGATCAAGGGACATGGGAAAAGGGTGAGATTAGGGTATTCAGCTCAATGATCAGCCATGATCATATTGAATGGCGGAGCAGGCTTGAGGGGCTGAATGGCCTATTCCTACTCCTATCTGCTATGTTTAGGTCCCAACTACAGATTTGCTTCCAGTAATGGTCACCACATTTTAGAAAAGATGTAAAGACGTTAACAGGGTGTCGAGGAGATTGATCATCATGATTCCAGGGATGCAGAGTTTTAGTTACAAGGCTAGTTTGGAAGACAGGAGTTGTTACCCTTGGAGCAAAAGAGATTACAGGGAGGTTTGATAGAGGTGTATGAGATAATGACAGCTTAGTTAGAGAAGGTAGAAATGAAAGAACACTTCCAAATAGTTTATGGTGCAATGACTATAGGAGACACAAACTTAAGATTTTAAGCAGATGTAGGGGGGATAGGATGAAGAACATTGTTACACAGCAGGTGGTAATGACCTGAAAACTATTCTCCGTGAGCGTGGTGGAAATGGATATAATTAATGATTTCAAAAGCAAGTCAATAGACATTTAAATGAAATAAACTTCCAGAGTAATGGAGAACAAGCAGGAATGGAACTGACTGGATTGTTTTTACAAACTCATATGGACTTGAGAAGGCCAAATGGCCTTCTTTTGCACCACAAATAATTCCATGATTCTGTTTTGTATCTGACCGTCATCTTGAGCTTCATAAGGCAAATTCTATCCCTAAATAATGGTTATGTTTATTTAAAGAAAGGATTGTACTGACAGTCTGCCTTTTGTAATTTCAGGACGTCCCAAAATGTTTCACAGCCAATTGTATTTGAAGTGTAGTAATTGTTATAATGTAGGAAACTAGGAGAACAATTTGCACAGCCAGCTTCTACAAGCAACAGTGTAATAATGCCCAGATCATCTGCTTAACTAATTGATGAATAATATCAGCCAGGACACTAAGGAGGAGAACTTTATCAATACATGATATAACATTTTGTTTAAATCAAAGACAATTTTGCAATTATTTAAACAACAAAATTCATTTGAAAGTTGTTATTTCTTGAACCTTCTGTTGATCTTCAAAGTAATGCGGCCATTGACTCTCTTTGTAAATGTTTACCTGCAGTCTCTTTCCAAATCCTTTGACTCATCAGTGCAGTAGAAGAATTTACCCTTAAAAAGCTGCACAGCAATGACAGCAAAGATGAACATGAACAGCATGTAAACGATGAGTATATTCAGTACATTCTTCAGGGAGTTCACCACACAGTCAAACACAGCCTAAAGGAAACAAGTTTGCAGTCAGATATTAACAAGCTGTGACAGACAATACTAGACTTGCAGAATCATTGCTGTGTGGCAATCTGTATTTAAAAAGCATTTAATCAGAAAATCTGATCAACTGATAGCATCGGGTGTGTTGCAAATATAGTTAATTTAAAATTGATACCAGTTTTGAGTATTGGAGAGATACAAGACTCGGGATGTGGAGTCAGATCTGCTTCTCTCTAACCAGAGAAGACAAGGTAAAATGATAATTACATTGGTGCACCTGAAAAGGATTATCAACTCCTTGTTAACAATACAATGTCTAAAGTTACGTATCAAAAACTATCAGCTGATCAACCTGAGAGTTTTGAAAAGCTTCATTTTGAACCGACGAAAATGTAGTCAGTGCTAATAGGCTGATGTGGTGTGAAACGACCTTCTCAAAGCTAACGTAATTCACTTCAGCTGGTTTCTTACGCTCAAAAATATATAGGGTGACTACAAACAAAACTATATGGTCACTGCACTGAAAAATCACAGTTTTTTTTAATATCAGAAGCTACATGGGTGTTGTTGTTGTGTTACAGATCCCTCTGGCAGTCCAGATTGCTGTGGCATCATGCACTTTACATGGATATTATTGTCCGTAGCTACGGGTAGTAGTGGTAGGGGTTCCAACATGCCTTCTATCATGACTGACCAGAAATCTCTTCCACTTTTACTGTCTGCCATGTGTTTGAAAGATTTGCCGGTCAATGATCAATATGCTTGGCAGCACGATGGAGCACAGCTTCCTCAGCCATCAAGTCCTTGGGTCGGCTTGGAAGTTGAAGCTCCTGGCTTTATTTCTTCTCTAGCTTTATTTAAATAAAAAATTCTGGTTTTGTATTTTGTATTTTAAATGGTGCTGGAGTATGGTGACTTCATACATTTTTCACTGTACTCTTGTACTCTTGTACTTGAGTACACATGACAATAAAATCTAATTCTAATTCTTTTCTACCCACTGTACTGCAAGACCTCCCTAAATCAAAGTGTCACTGATCTGGAAGTATGGTATATTATCAGGGCCCAGGCCAAAGGGATACATCAGGGCCCAAAAGCCAGGGCCTGGAGTTCTTGGGGGACCCTGCTGTGTAGGAGTAGAGAGCAGGAGTACTCTGCTTGAGGAGGTAGACTGGGTGTGGGCCCAGGCCAGGAGCAGCACTGGGGTCTGTTCTTTCCAACCCTGGCCCTTGTATGTCTGCTCTGCCTGAAGGGAAGGTCTTTAGCTCATTGTCTGTTGACTTAACCTAAGCCATTTTCTTGGCAAATATTCTTTGATCATCAGTGATTTACCATTGTCTTCCGCAGTCAGGGCAGGCTGAAGAGGTAGATCCCAAGTCTAGCTGGACTAGTAACAAAATCATTGAATATTATTTAGAACAAAACACTAGCCAACTGAACCAACCAGTCCCCAGAATGAATGACCAGCTAGAAATGAAGGAAACGGCCAGAGTTTTTGACAATTAACCTGAGAAATGTATTTGTTAAAAATTACACAAATTGCATACAGCATACAGTGCACAAATTAAACTGAAAATTTCTCAACTCTGGGGTATGTAGTTAGGATAGAACGCAAGGCAGCAGTTACTTGTACTGCTGTGGAAGGCCAGATGTACAGATGCCATGTTGTTTGACCTGTGACTGTCGAAAGTGAGAGATGCTTTGAAAGGGCTGCTTTGCTTTGTCATTGAATTTTACCGTTTTTTTTTCCCCTACAAGCTGGTGTCTCGTCACTGTCTCCTTTCCACAAAAACAATCAGTTAATGGAAAAAATTGCAATTACTCAGACAGCATTTTACAGTCAGGATTTTATAGTGGCAAAAATAATAACAGCAAATTTTTAATGGGTTGTTTCACCTAATTATTAAATAAAGCATTAAAGAAACTGAAATCAAACAAGGCCCTTGAGGAGTATACAGGGAGCAGAAAAGAACTTAAACAAGAAATTTGGAGGGTCACAAGGAGCCATGAAATGTCCTTGGTGGTTGGATTAAGGAGAATCCCAAGGCATTTTATATGCATATTAGGAGCAAGAGGGTAGCTAAGGAAAGAGCAGGTACACTCAAGGGCAAAGGACAGAATTTATTTGTGCAGCCAGAAAAAGTGGGTGAGGTCCTTAATGAGTACCTTGCGTTGGTATTTACCAAGGAGAAAGACATGGATGATTATAAGCTGAGAGAGAGATTTGTTGACACGCTAAGGCATGTCAATAATAAGGAGGATATATTGAGTGTCTTGAAAAACATTAAGATAGATAAGTCCCCAAGGCCTGATAAGATCTATCCTAGGATACTGAAAGAAGGAAGGGAGGAGATGGCAGGCGCCTTGACGGAAATCTTTGTATCCTCTTTAGTTCAAGAAAAGCAGTAAGGATAATCCAGGAAATTATAGGTCAGTAAATGCCACTTCAGTGCAGAGAAATTATTGAAGAAGATTCTTCGAGATAGGATTTATTCACATTTGGAGAAGAATAGACTTATCAGGGACAGTCAGCATGGCCTTATGCAGGTGAGGTATTGTCTCATAAACTTCAGTATTTTCATAGAATCTCTATTGTGCAGAAAGAGACCATTCAATCCATCGAGTCTGCACTGACCCTCTGAAGAGCATCCCACACAAACTCAGCTCCCTACCCTATGCCCATAACACTGTATTTCCCATGGCTAATCCACCTAGCCTGCATATCCCTGAACACTATGGGCAATTTAGCACGGCCAATCCACCTCACCTGCACATCTGTGGACTGTGGGAGGAAAGTGGAGCACCCACATAGACACGGGGAGAATGTGCAAAGTCCACACAGACAGTCACCCAATGCTAGAATCAGGTCCCTGGTGTTGTGAACCAGCAGTACTAACCACTGAGCGTCCATGCTACCCTCCCTTTTAGATGAAGTAAGGAAGATGGTTGTTGAGGGTAAGGCAGTGGATGTTGTCTACATAGCCTTCACTAAAGCATTTGACAAGGTCTCTCATGGGTTGCCGGTCCAGATGATTAGGTTACATGGGATCCATGGTGTTTAGCAAGGTGGATATAAAATTGACTTGGTCACAGAAGACACAGCTAGTTGTGGAGGCGTGGTTTTTTCCGACTGGAGGTCTGTGACCCATGGTGTTCTGCAAAGGATCAGAGCTGGGATCTCTGCTGCGGAAATATACATAAACGTGTAATTGGTCTGATCAGTAAGTTTGCAGCCAACACAAAAAAAATGGTGGAATTGTTGATAGTGAGGAAGGTGATCAAAAGATACAGTTGGATAGAGATCAGTTGGAAAGTTGGATGGAGAAATGGAAGGTGGAGTTTAATCCAGACAAGTGTGAGATGATGCCATTTGGGAGGTCAAATGCAAGAGGAAATGGCAGGACCCTTAGGAGTATTGTCATTCAGTTTTTCTTCAGGCCCAAGTCCACAGCTCTCTGAAAGTGGCAATACAAGTGGATAAGGTGGTAAATAAGGCGTACAACATGAACTTGCTTTCATTGGTCAGGGCATTGAGTATAAAAGTTGGCAAGTCACATTGCAGCCATATAAAACGTCAGGTCACATTTGGAGTATTGTCTGCTGTTCTGGTCACCACACTGTAGGAAGACTGTGGAGGCTTTGAAGATGGCGCAAGAGAGGTTTACCAAGATGTTGCCTGATTTGGAGTATATTAGCTATAAGGAGAGGTTAAACAAACCTGGATTGTTTTTGATGGAACGTTGGAAGCTGAGGGAGAACATTAAAGAAGTATTTAAAATTGAGAGGCATAGATAAGGTGGATAATCTGAGTCTTTCTTTCACTGGATGAAAATGTCAAATGCTATGTGGCTTAGGGTTAAGGTGAAAGGGGGAAAGTTTGAAGGAGATGTGCAAGCAAAGTAATTTTTACACCAAGGGTGGTAGGTGCATGATATGTGCTACCAGAGCAGGTGGTAGAAGCAGATATGACAGTAATGTTTAAGAGACATTTAGACATGACACATAAACAAGCAGAGAATAGAGGGATACAGAGCGTATGCAGGCAGATGAGATTAATTTAGAATGGTCGGCATAGACATGGTGGACTGAAGGTTTAAGTGGTGATTTTGTTTTCCCCAGTAACCCCTCAGTTTGGCTGGCAGCCAATCTTGGAAACCAAAATAACATGGTCTTAGTGGGGGACTTCCACAATTGCTGAATATCAATTTAAAAGAAGTATTTTGAATGCAATACATAAGAAGACATTTCTCCGATGAGAAGTTTTAAATCTGACATGAGGATTACTAGTTCTAAAATCTACAAACTGAGCTATGTACAAATTTCCTGCAGAAAATCTTTCCAATCAGGTCACTTTTGGAGTGTTAAACTGGCAGCCATTATCTCAGTGGGAGATTCTGCGTGAGTGCCAGTGTTCACATTGTGAGCCAAGTACTTATGCGCAACTGTTCCTTTCCAGTTGGTGCAGGAGTTAATGCAAAAACAATCTTTTTATTGACTTTTTTTTAAGTAACACAAGATTCTCTGCATAAACACAAAGATACAAAGACTTCATACCTTTAATTTTGGCAAACGTTTGATGGTCTTCAGTGGCCTCAAAACTCGGAGAACTCGCAGGGATTTGATGGTGTTGAGATCTTTGCCTTTGTTTCCGCTGTACATGTAAAGATCAAGAATTATATATACACAGCTGAATGAAATCTACCTTTATCTACACTGTGCTGCAGTGATTAAATGCAGAGCACACACCGCATTTCAATATATAGGCATGCCCAGGAACCATACTTGTAATTGGAGACGAAACTGCCATGATTATAGATGGAAGAAAGGTCACACTTGCGTGATAAATGACAAAACAAACAAAAATGATAAAAAGTACACGCTACTGAAGTGGAGAAATATCTACTTATGTCTAACCAATTCCATAAATGGAAGAAGCAATGTTTATGATGTAAGTATTGTATGAGAAATCAATATTAAAAGTTTGCTCCAATAAAGTTTCACAAATACACATTTAAATCCTATTATGTTTTAAATAGTATTTTGGAAAGCAGTTCAATTTGTTAAATTTGGTTAATGCAATAAACATTTACTCTTTGCTAAGTGAGTAATCTGTATTGATCAATAACTGCATATGTATAATTTACTTCTTTTTGATGGAAGTAAATATTGTTATGTTTACTTATTGTTTCAAATCCAGTGAATGTCAAAAAAATAGACTGCATTAGGGAACACTTCAATGCATGAAACCTTTATTATGTCATTTCTTGCTACCCAGGCAAATTTTAACAGGATAAATTCTTTTAATTTGTATTGAAATTCTTTACAGTCCTGTGGTTATCAATGCAAAAATACATGTAAAAGCAAATCTTGGGACTCTTCATCACTTGTCGAATCTATTATCTCACTGCAGGATGAGAAGAAGGAAGTCCATTCTGTTATGACAGAAAATAATGTGCCATTTACAGATATTACAATCATGGTCTTAAAGTCCTGACAGAAAAGGAAAATCATACTGCTGTGATCTTGAAGTATGATATGTGCTCTGCCTGAAGGCAAATCCTTGGTTCACGATCTGATTCTTCATCCTGAACCAATTTCTTGGCAGTTTTTTTGCTAGGGTTGATTTACCGCTGTCTACCAATCTCCAAAAGATAGGTCCCAAGCCTACCTCAGCTGGAATGGGAATTGAACTAGTGCTGTCCATGTTATGCTGGCAGAACTGAGAATGAAATAAATACAAACTGAGAGTGGACCATTTTGGATTCCGACTCCAATGACACACACTTCTCAAATATTTCTTTGAAATAAAAAAAGATTATGAATGCAGGATACCAAACTGTGAATGTCAACAGAAGTCTCCATGCCATCAAAGTGACCAATTATGAATTGTAGCAGCAGCAACACATTAAGACATGATGCGATTGAAAAATTAACTTTTCCAGGCGATGGTAAATGACAGATTTAATTGTTTTTCTTAATGACTGACTGACTGAAATCTTGTACCTTGCATGATAGTAGGAGGGGGTTAACTGACCTCTTTGTTGTGATGTATTTATTCAGTCCAGGAGACAAAAGTCAAAATGACAGTGATAATTACCCATCTTCAACAGTAAGTGTACAACTGTTCCATAACTATAACTAGCTTCACTTACTTGCCTACCGCAACTTCTTTATTCAAATAAAAGCAAAATACTGTGAATCCTGGAAATCTGATACAAATACAGAAAATAATGGAAACCCTCAACAGATTTGGCAGCATCTGGGGAGAGAAAATAGTTAAAGTTTCAAATCCAATATGACTCTTTAACAGAACTGAAGAGAGCTGTGAAGGTGATGGATTTTATGCAGTTGAAGAGAGGGTGGGTCAGGAGTGGGTCAAGTGAAACAAAATCGAAGGTCAGGTAAAGGTTAGATGATAAAGAGATGGCAGTAGGGAAACAATCCTGAAAGTGTGTTAATAGTAGATTAAAGGTCAGCTCTGACCTAAAGTGGAAAACATGAAAACAAGATACAGACACTGGGGGACAGAACACATCAAAATGGAGGACAGAGTTAATGAACTGAAGTTGTTGAACTCAATGTTGAATCCAGAAGGCTATGTGAATCCAGAAGGCTGTGAAATACTTCACTGAAAACATGAGATGTTGTTCCTGAATTTGTTTTGGTTTTCACTGGAATAATGCATCAGACCTCGGGCAGAAATGTGAGCATGAAAGCAAGGTGGTGCATTAAAATGGCATATTGATGTGATGTTGGTGTTGTCCCCTCCAGCATAATGCCATTACCGGGCACATTTCCAGCATTCCAAAGGGTCCATTCCTCAAACACCCCCAAATACCTCATCCCCTTCCCATAGGAGCTGCTCATGACACTGCATAAGGTATAATATTTGTACTTTTACATTCTCCCTTCTCACTGTCCAAGACCCAATATTCCTTCCAGGTGAAGCAATGACTTATACTTCTTTTAAACTAGTGGACTGTATTCACTGCAGTCTACAGTGCACGAGAATTGCGGAACCAGTTGCTTGCTTTTTCACTACACCATTGTCACTGAACACCTCCACTCAGTTCACAAGCATGACCATCCAGCCACTTGCTATTTCACTTCACCATCTTGTTTTCATTCTCATATTTCTGTCCAGGCTTTCCACAGTGTTCCAATGAATGCAAACTGGAGGAACAGCACCTCACTTTTCACCATTAGCACTTTACAGCCGAAGTGGTTTTACAGTCTCCTGGACTTAACATTGAGTTCAGCAATTTCAAACCATAAACTGTGTCCATTTTGATATTTCTTTACCCCATGTTATCTGTATTTTCTCTTCATATTTTTCCTTTTATTCAGAGTTGACTGTATTCTGCTATTACCACTTGCTTTACACCAATACTTTGTCACTTCTCTCCAATAATCACCACTTGCTTCACATTTTGTTCTATGACAATTTTGCCTCCTAATCTGTGTTATCCTCCAGTTGGTCACTTTATTTCACATGCCCAACCTCAACAAATCACATGTTCACCTCTCTCCTGTTCAGAAGAAGAGTCAGATTGGATTTGAGACTCTAAGTCTGTTTCTGTCTCCACAAATGCTGCTAGACCTGCTGAGTGTCACTGGCACTTTGTTTGGATTTCATTATTCAGATTGTGGTGCAAAACCTTCTAAAGCTGAAACCAAACACAATTTAATTTATTAAATTGGTTCGATATCTTAAGTCAGATGACAGATTCTGGTCTGATCCAAGCTGTTCACCTGCTTTATTGCAGATACTGTCTTTTATAACCCCAGAAAGGAAGGACTGCCTTTAAATGTGCAATAGCTGCAGTACGGAATATGGCAATCAATTTGGATACACAAACACGGTATAAAAGATGACCAGATCATCTATTTTTGTTATGTATAGCCAGGACACTGGGGTTAACTCCCTGGAACATTTTCAAACCAGTGCCACGCAATTTATTACAGCTCCTTAGAGAGCAGACACAACCTCAGTTTAATATGCCAGCTGAAAGATGGCACTTTCAACAATGCACCAAGGCCCCAGCACCCCATGGAGTGAAAATGTGGATTTTTTTGAGTTGGACTTGAACCCACATCTCTTATGTCCTTTGATAATTGCAGCATCTTAATTATATAGTCAATTTTATTTTGCTAATGACTCAAACGTTCTGCAGTGGAGGTCATAAAAAGAATATTGACATGCACAATGTTGAAAAGGTTTGATCTGTTTTATGGAAGCCTATTTCTGCAGATGTTCCACAGTTAGCAGAAATGGCCGGTCAGTGATTTGCAATCTTTGCTTTCAATTCTCATGGTTTCGAACTCAACCCATTTCAAGTCCCAGGCCAGAAGCCAAACACTGAACTTCTCACTGCATGCAATAAAGGAGAGGGAAATCTGTTTCCAATGCAGTGGCAAATAACTTTTAGACACATACAATTACCAGTTGCAACAATGTGATAATAATTCACCAAAGCAATGGATTGTATGACAAAAATAGGTGGGAAGGCAAGTCGTGCTGAGAAGACATGAAAAGTCTGCAGAGGGATATTGGCAGGTTAAGCAAATGTTTTAAAACTTTGGCAGATAAAATATAACATGGGAAAATGTGGCTTATGCATTTTGGCAGGATGAATAGAGGAGCTGAATATTACTTAAGTAGAGAAAGCTGCAGGAGAGGGATTTGGGAGTCCTCGTCTATGAATCAGAAAAAGCTAGCATCCAATTTCAGCAGGGAACAGGAAAGGCAAATTAAACAATGGCCTTTATTTTCAAGGGAATAGGAGTACAAAAGCAGGGAAGCCTTGCTAAACTATACAAGGCACGAGTCAGATCACAGCTTTACCATGTAAGGAAAGAAACACTGTCATTGGAGGCAGTCCAGACAAGGTTCACTAGGTTGATACCAGGTTTAGAGGGACTGTGTTATGAGGAGATGTTGATTAGATTGGGTCTGTACTTGTTAGTATTTAGAAGAATGACAGGCAACCTTCTTGAAACTTAAGGGAATTGACAGGGTGGATGTGGAGACGTTGTTTCTCCTTGTGGGAGAGTCTAGGACCACAGGACATAATTACAGAATAAGGGGTCACACATCTAAAACAGAGATGAAGAAAAAAATTCTTCTCTCAGAGGGTAGTCATTCTGTAGACCTTCACAGTGACCTCAGTCAGTGTGGGAGTAGTTAGAATCACCAAAACAATGTGACTTTTATATGGCACCATTTAATTGAAAGTGTGTCTCAGGGTGTTTCACAAATGAGTGTAACGAAAACCAACATCAAGCCAAGAAGGAACAGGTTAGAAGAAATGCCCATGGGTTAAGTCAAATAGAAATATTTTGAGGAGATTTTTAAAGGGGGTGAGAGAGGACCAGAGGTGAAGAGAATTATAGAAGGAGGTCCAAAGAATAGCAACATGTCAGCCTCTGTTATGCCTGGAGAGGTGTGAAAAGTCAAGATCTAGTCCAATGAGTCTTGTATTACAGAACAAGACATGCTTGAAGCATTTCTTGAGACTTAAATACTGAACAGTTGAGCTCCTGAT